CACACACACACACACACACACACACACACACACAGGCCCACCTGTGTAGATGAAAGGTAGATGCTGTAAATTCCTCCGCTTTCCACACAACAGCTCCTCGTTTGTCAGCTCAAGGGACACAGTCAATGTCTGAATCTGATACCTCTGCCTTTTGAAGTTACTGTCATGCTAGTCCAACTCTAAACCAAGCCTCACATACACATGCACGCACACACATGTACACACACACAAAAGCAGTAAAAAACGCTGGCTCTATATTGTTTTAAAGTTAGATGAATGAAATTTGCCGCCAGAGTGCATGTCATCCTAGGAGCACATGTATTCAATGTTACAACTCAGTGACAGAAAATGAGAACATGCTGTCCAGCTATGGGTCATGGAAGGACTGGAGCTGATCCCAGCATGCATTTCAGTGGAAATCAGGTAAACAACTGTGCAGCTGAATATTCACAGCATGGAGAAAAGTAGTATTTTCATAAGGAGCATGTTATGTAAGAAAGCCAGGAAAAAGTATTCACTGAAAAAAACAGCTTTACTGAGATGTGTGTTGCTAGTCACCAAACCACTGTACCACATCTTTACAACTCAAATGCTGTTTGTTGTTATACAAAGACATTTTAATTTAGTAAAATGAGAACACATTTATTTCCTTCTAAGTGAGCCAGAAAGAAATAATCACATTTAAATGTGAGGGCACAGGCTGTCTAATCCTGACCTCTGACCTCCATCTCCAGGATTGGGGGGGAAATAAGCTCAATAAGCCCGGTGACAACCAAGGTATATCAAACACACACAGACACACACTTGCACACAAACACTGCATAGATTACAAACACATTTGTTATGTCGAATAGCATTTTTGGTAAATATTGATTTCGTTGTTCCTCTGTTTCTGCGAGAGATGATTAAACAGAATCAGTCAGAGCAAATAAAATTCAATATGGAATAAATCTATGAAATTAATTTCTCATGTCAGAGAGAAGTGATCTTAAGGGTTATTAAAGGACACTGTAAACACCACCACTATTTTCACTGCAGTCGCAAAATATGAGTGGTGATTTAGTTTATGATTTTGATTATTTTTTCTTGATTTTTATTTTGAACAACAGACACCATGGGTAGAGAGGAGTTGCTTTTTCTGTTTGACTGTGTTTTAACGTTCAAGGAAGGATCCTCAAACGTATTTCTCTTGTCAATTACGAAAACAGTGAAAATAATAAAAAAATAATGTCATGTACAGACAAGAGCAATGATATATCCTAGCATTGTGGAATAATAGACAGCATACATTTACACGTTTTAATCTCCTACATGAGCTGCTACACATTGATTTAAGACCAGTGGCTGTAACCATGTGTGTATTTGTGTGTATTTGTGTGTGTGTGTGTGTGTGTGTGTGTGTGTGTGTGTGTGTGTGTGTGCCCACATAGCAGCTGATAGTCCAGATAACCAGATCTGCCAGTGCCAACTTCTGACCTGTGTGTGTAGGTAAGATCAATGGAGGAAAAGAAAACACAATGAGGGAACAAAAGACTGAACTCGTGATCTGGTGATGCTGGTGTTAGTGTGTGCATGTGTGCATGTGTGCATGTGTGTGTGTGTCTGCGTGTGCGCGTGTAAGACTGTGTGCACTGCTTGGGTGGCCCAAGGATGAGCGCCCATTGTCGCTGGAATTCAATAGGGCTGATTAGTAAAGTGTGTGTGTGTGTGTGTGTGTGTGTGTGTGTGTGTGTGTGTGTGCAAAAGCATGCACTGGCATGCATGTGTGTGTGTGTGAAGCAGGGGGTGGTGTATGTGTTTGTACCTTTGCACTAAGCACAGCAGAGAGGAGAAGAATGGGGGAATTAGTTGTAAAGCCAGTGAGAAAGCAGACTTCAGGGTGACATACCACACAAATCTGGGGAGTGGGGATTGTTTCCCTGCACATCCACATTAACGCTGTCTCAGCAGAGTAATGCTCTCTTACAGCTGCAATACGATGACAGAAATTTTTGTAAAGTAAAGTATACTGTGTGTGTCTTTTGAGAAGCAGCATGACTCATGAACTGAGATATGTGCTCAGGAGTGCTTGTTGGAATTTGAAATTAATCCCACAATAATCCAGAGGTTGGTTTTACACTCAAACCATTACTGGAATTTGAATTAACTTTCAAAAACACCACGTGATCAGATTTCCTAGTTTCACAGCACTTATATGATTTAAAAACTTGAAGAAGATGATTTAATACCTCAAAATGAAATTAAAAAAGAAAGTGTAAGTTTTTTATATTGCATATTTAAATCTAATGTGCTTTGTATTAAAATGTAAGTTAAAATGTAAGTAGCCAACACCCGTCTTATACCTACGGCATATTGTCATTACATGAAAAAGTAGAGCTCAACTTATCAATACTTGACAAAACATAAATCAAGTTACCCATCATGAATACTAATACTTCTGATACTATGAAACAGCTGAGAACATACAATAAAAGCAGCAAACAATGGAAAGAGGTGACTCAGGTGATCCCATTCTGTTTAGTTAAGGATAAGGTGCCGTTCAAAGCTGTGGATTTAAAGGTTCTGAAATCCTCTCAATATCACATGCCTGTGTCTGTGGTCCTCACTGGACTGTAATAAAAACAACTAATCATTTCATTTGGACTGAATGACCATGAATCGGTTGCAGTCTGCTCCTGCTAGCATTTCCAGGATTTCCAACCCTAGCTTTAAGACAATTGTTCACATGACCACTTTGAAACCTGTTTATGATGCAGTATTGTGTTTTAAATAGTGTAAATAGATATATTCATGGGCTGATTTAAATCTAGCCATACTCAACTAAATAATAAAGATTAATGTTAAAATCGAGGCTAATGACTTTGTGCATACTATTTTTATTGACCTTTCTTGTCAGCTCATGGCTTTGTCATCACTCAATCTATCCCAAATAACAAAGCACAAAATCTCTACTTCGAATCTTCTTTTTACCAATCTACAAACTACTTCACTACTCCCTGTCCTGCTCTGTGTATTTATGTGTTGCTGCACTGATTGCCCGCTACAAATTGTTGCTCCGACTGATTTTGTCTAATCATGTCTCGCAGAAACAGAGGAAGAACGAGATCAATATTTTCCGAAAACACTCGTAACAAATGTGGCTTTAATCAATGCCATATGTGTGTTTGTGTGTGTGTGTGTTTGATATGCCTTGGCCTTGACCGGGCTTATGGAGGTGGCAGGAGGAGGAGGAGGAAAACGAAGTTCTAGGCAATCATGCAGACAGGCGGGAGGGCCCGTGTAGTGTAAACATGTTTTTAATAAACAGGAACCAGCGTAATGCCCTTTTAATTGATTCATTCTGTGCTTCTCTGTTTACAGAAGGGCCTAAATATGAGCCTCGTAAGGCAGAGGCCTTGTGTTTATAAGTGGTTTGTTTAGTTCAAACAATAACAGTTTGAACACCAGACGTAGTTGTGGATCAGCAGTGATGTATTGTGCTGCGCTGCTCTGTCATATTGCATTTTTCTTTTTGTTGTGTTTTTCCGACCTTTCTCCCTCTTGCTCTCTTTTTCTCCACATCATTCTCTTCACGTGTGTTTAGATTTTTGGAAACTCCAATTTATCAGAGAATAAACGGGCAAAAGCCGCTCCACAGTACCCCACGGTCTCCTCTTTGCAATTTGTGTGCCGGCCAGTGTATGCTGGGGTGTGTGTGTGTGTGTGTGTGTGTGTGTGTGTGTGTGTGTGTGTGTGCGTGTGACTGAAGTTTAAATTGCAGCCACAGTGTAATGATATGGTGGCATGGCATTGAGGGGTGCTCCATAGGGAGGGCTGGGGTTGGCAATTAAGCCTACGCTGACACAGACACTTACAGAGGGTGAGACACACATGCACACAGAGAGTGAGAGACAGAGAGCAAAGCTAAACACATCCAAGTGGGGTAGTAAAAGCTAATGAAGGTTCAGC